CTGGATATTCACAACGAACCTGTACAATTCTATGTTCTTCCGGAACTTTACCAAGTGGTCCAAGTGAATTGACATGTTTACCCAATGGAAATTGGGATAATCCGATTCCATCATGTTCTGGTCGTTCATGTCCACCAATTCTCCTCCTGAACATGGTTACACGCGCGGGGATTGTTCACCTGGTGTACCAGGTAAACTTTGCTCATTCGGTTGTGAAAAGGGTTACTCATTGTCCAGTGAATCTCAACTGGTGACCGAATGTTTCCCGATGGTACTTGGTCTAATGAAGTACCAACATGTATCCAGGTCACATGCGATCCTTATTACCACCCTCACCAAATGGTGGACTACAAGGTACATGTAACCCAGGTTATCCAGGGGAAAGATGTTCATTCACCTGCCCGGTGGGCTATCGACTAAGAGGTCTTTCGAGTTCCCTTTGTCAACTCAATGGTACCTGGTCATCGGTTCCACCCGTTTGTACCTTGGCCTCTTGTCCGTCACTAATTTCACCTCTTTGTGGTTACGCTTATGGTACTTGTTCACCAGGTACTTTGGGTGAAACCTGTAACTTTACCTGTAATCAGGGATGTGCCCTGGAGGGTTTTAATGTGTTGACCTGTGGGGAGGGCGGACGATGGTCTCATTTTCAGCCCATTTGTCGAGGTGAGTTGCCAAATTGTCGTTAAATTTAATAGATATTTAAATTGATTCAATTTCTTTTGAAATACAAATTAACTCTTCATCATTAATATTACCTTGACAACCAGAATATTTTTAATTCAGTTTGAGAAATAAACTAAATCTAATCTTTAAAAGTTTCTCCTCATCGATAATAATATAATTAAGAATAACAATTAAGGTTTTCGTTGAGTTTCTCTTTGAAAAAATAAAATCAATTCTTTCCATTGATTTAGTTAAATGTCAACAATTAAAAATTATTATTCTATTAACTATCAACATTTAAATCGAGAATCATTCAAAATGATTTAATGCTGACCATTTAAACTGATTGTGATTAACGATTAATTGTTGTCACTGTTTTTTGCTTCTTCTTTTAATCATTAAAATCAATTCAATGATAATGTGATATTGATTAAATTGTTATCATTTTGAATTTGAATTAACTTTCCTTTGGAATCAATTTAAATTATATCAATTTATTGATTAGTTCAATTGTAAGGGAAAAATCAATTGATTGTTATTTTTTTGTTTCCATTGTTAAGTTTAATTTGAATCTTTGTTTATATTATCATATCCATAGAGAACTGGATAGAACTTTTTAATTCAGTTAATAAGTCACAATTTGCGTGCAATTGTGACAATTTAAATGTATAGATTTGATTCTTACCGACGATAATTTATCTTAATCACAATTAAAAGTATAATTTATAAAACAAAAATCAACAAAGGAAATGATATTACATATAATAAAAATGTACATTGATAATGTGTGATTCATTAATTGTCCTAGTTAATTTAAAATAATCATTAGAGTTTAATTGTCTTTCATTTTTCTCAATTTAAATGACAATTAAAACATGAGACTCAAAGATTTGGACATTTTATATGAATGATTTAATTGTTTGATTTGAACTTTGGTTAATTTTTGTAACCAGAAATCGGCTCTGAACCAACATCTACACCAACAACGGTACCAGGAACTGATCCAGATCCCGACCCCGATCCTGACCCTGACCCTGACCCGGATCCTGATCCATATCCTGACCCTGATTATACTGACCCTTATCCAGATGTAACCACAATTAAACCTACAACCTCACCTAAGCCAACCATCAACCCAACCACTGGTCCATCGACCTTTTGTCAACCCTTACGTCCACCCCGAGGCGGTGTTCTTTACGGTAAATGTGCACCAGGTATTTCGGGTTCAACCTGTACCCTTGTTTGTTCAAGAGGTTACAGGTTAGTGGGTCAACTAGTGGTCACTTGTACAAACTCTGGCCAATGGTCAGGGCGATTAGGAATCTGTCAAAGTGAGTTAATTACAACTGACCCAATGAACGTTGTAAATTAAAAACACATTAAAGTAAATAATACAAGTTGCGAACAATTAATAAATCATAATTAACTCTTATCAAATTGATTTTCTTTCTTCTACTTTGTTAATTAGTCGCAACAACTCAACACTGTGCCTCAGGTCGTTGTTGCCGTCCGCCCACTATTCCGATCAATGGTCGGCTATTCCGTTGTAACAATTCAATCGGAGGTCAATGTCGGATAACTTGTTCCGTCGGGTATAAAGTTAACATAATTCAACCACTTAAATGTCAACTTAATGGTGATTGGAATTACAATCCAGATACAATTAAGTGTATCCAATCAACTAAAACAGTTATGTTTGTCTGGAGATGGTTTGGTTAATTGTTGACCAATTTACACCAAACAATTAATATCATCGTCTCATCAACAGCAATTCAATTCTTACCCAAGAGTGTTAATAATAACAACTTAAATCACAATTAAACAAAATGGAAACACCGTTAAAAAACAATAACCATAATCATTGAACAATTTAATGATAATCAATTTAATTTAATTGTCATGGATCATCAATGATGTGAAACTAAATAGTAATAGTTAACTGGTTTATCTATCAACAATTAAATCAACATTTATATATATTGTTAACTATTAACGTGACATTAATCATCATGATAATAATAATAATAATAATATTGATTAACTTAAATTAATTATAAGATGAAGTTAATTGTTCAACTTTCTCACTCTTTTTTATTTAATTAATTGTACAATGTTTCTTATAAAAGCAAATAAATTAATGGTAATACTTAATTACTAATTGTTGATTGATTGCGTGGTGAAAAATTGAAAGCAAACTTTAATTAAATTGTTACGATTGTTGTTTCCAAAGGTCTAAACTCATTTGGGATCAACTAATCAACTAAATTGTTACCATTTAACAGCAATTCAATTATCACGCAATAGTATCAATTCAATTCTTAATAACATATTAATCTAGTAACAAAGATTAACACATTAAACTGTTCATCTCATTAATTAATTAACTTGTATCATCAGACAATTAAATCAATTTGCTTTCTGTTGTTAATCAGTTGATTGTATGGAAAACATTATCAAAATGGAAATGGACAATTAACTGGATTAAAAAAATGTATAACACTTTCTGAATGATTAGAAAACAGATACAACACCAAATAGAATTGGAGTTAATTTAATTCTATTAGTTAATTGTTGTTCTAGGTTCGGTTAAATTTTCCGCGTAATTAATTTTCCGCCAAAATCCAATCAAAAGGGAAACATTTTTATCAGAAGATGAAAAAGAGATGATAAATTTTCCTCTTTCTTTATCATCATTTTCTCTTTCTTTATTAATATTTGTGAAAAACAATTAATTCTCAATGTTGCCAATTCGTTAATTGTGTTATCATGATAATTAGAAAATTAAATTCAATCTATTAATAATTGGAACCAAATTAATTCTCATTTTCTAACCTTTGGCCTGGTCTTTAAATCTTCATGTGAGTATATTGGAGTATCTGTTGTGTACAATATGATGATTTCTTTTGGGTTGAAGGCCTTTCCTTTTTTCTTAATTGTTGATTATTCTTTTTTTTTGTTAATTGTTGTTGTTTCTTATTCCAATTTAATTTAGTTGTGATTTCAAAGAGAATTCAATTGATATCGGAAATTTGGTTTTTCTATTCTCTTTACCTTCCAAGTAAATATAACTGTAATTTTCCATCATCTGTCATCCACTTTCTATTTTATCGCTTTCTACATGTTCTATTTTTTTCTCTTTCTTTTTTCTCTCTCTTTTTTATTCTATTTTACCTTCTCTCTCTCTCTCTTTCTTCTAGCATCATCATCTCATTATACACTATCATCTTTACTGTCATCATTCGTGTGTTTTACCTCTGTTAACACTATCACCACTTCTTCATCTTATTTGAAAGAGACAGAGAGACAGAGAGAGAAGGAGAGAGAGAGAGAGATTAAATCTCTTGTGACTTTGTATCATTCCAGAATTTCATCCTTGTTTCTTTCATTTAGATATTTCATCTGATTAACTCTGATTAACCTTTTCCATGTAACCCACTGGTTCTGTGTTCTGGATTGATTCAAGTTGATAATCTCTCTTTCTCTCTCTTTCTCTCTCTTGGTTCTTCTTCCAGAGTTTATCTATAGTCAACATTTTCTGTCACCTAAATTTCCCAAGATTTGAATTGATAACAATATCAACATATCGATCATCTTCATAATTAACCTTCATCTCTATTCATTTTGATTTTCAAAAGAATAGAAATTATTAACAATTCAAATTCATCTTATCCAATATTGACCATGGATTCTATTGAAACTCTACTTTTAGCTGAATGGTTTATTTTCATTCCCTTTTCTTCATTTTCTCTCTGTGATACAAATTTATTAATGAAATGATTCCCTTGTGTTCAAATGCGAACGTTCAAAACAAAACAAACCAAGAAAATAAGATAATTCAAACTAAATCGATAAATATATTTTTCTTTTTCTTTCAGAATTCTATCGGATCAATTCACCTTTTTATAAATATATGTGCTCTTCGATATTGGAAAACAATTAACATATCATATGGATCGAAAAAGGGATAACACTTCATCAATAATTACATCTCTCTCTCTCTCTCTCTCTCTCTTTCTCTCTCTCTTACTCAGTGAGAAATAAAGGAGAGAGAAAGAGATCCCATCATTTGGATACCATTTAATTATGAAGATGAATAATTATCTTCTCATTAAGGATCGCCTGACTAATATGGTTCCCTTTTTGTTGATGTTACCATACCATGCATAGGAACTGGAAACAGAAAAAGTGATGATAATAGTGCTGGTGAATTATCAAATTGACTTATATTTCTGTCATATCTATTTGCTGTTTATACTTGAACTCTCTCTTTTCTTTCTCTCTCATTTCCATTGAGGTGAGAATGGGAAAAGTGTATGGGAGAAAGAGAAAAACAATATAACGTTGCTCTATGATGAGAAACTCATTATGAGGTTATATTGGTTTCTATCATTGGTTTTTTTTCTGCAAAAAGGATGGATAGAGAATGAAGAATTGCCACAAAAGAATCATTACCTGAGAGAAGCGTTTGTTGTCATTTGATGGTTACCAGAGGAACCAAATAGAGGAACAATTATTATGGGAAAAGAACATATTACATATACACAACTATCATCATTTCATCATCATTATCATCATTGGAGGGAAGGCAAACATATAACACATACACACAATATACACTCACCAAAATGCAGCGAGAGTAAGGAAAAAATTGAAAATTGTCAGAGAGAAAGAGAGAGAGAGAGAAGGAAGAAAACCAAAGGAGGAGATGATAGAATGGGGGAGATGAAGAATGGGCGAAACCATTAAAAAAGGGAGCAACCAAGTTACCTGGACTGTCAAGCGAAAATAGAGAGACCGAGAGAGTGAGAATAATATTTATATCAACAAACCCTATGGTATTTATATAAATGTATCTGTGTATCTGTTAACTTGGACAGAGAAGAAGAAGAAGAAGAAATTAGGAGCAGAGAGAGAGAGAGATTAAATCTCTTGTGACTTTGTATCATTCCAGAATTTCATCCTTGTTTCTTTCATTTAGATATTTCATCTGATTAACTCTGATTAACCTTTTCCATGTAACCCACTGGTTCTGTGTTCTGGATTGATTCAAGTTGATAATCTCTCTTTCTCTCTCTTTCTCTCTCTTGGTTCTTCTTCCAGAGTTTATCTATAGTCAACATTTTCTGTCACCTAAATTTCCCAAGATTTGAATTGATAACAATATCAACATATCGATCATCTTCATAATTAACCTTCATCTCTATTCATTTTGATTTTCAAAAGAATAGAAATTATTAACAATTCAAATTCATCTTATCCAATATTGACCATGGATTCTATTGAAACTCTACTTTTAGCTGAATGGTTTATTTTCATTCCCTTTTCTTCATTTTCTCTCTGTGATACAAATTTATTAATGAAATGATTCCCTTGTGTTCAAATGCGAACGTTCAAAACAAAACAAACCAAGAAAATAAGATAATTCAAACTAAATCGATAAATATATTTTTCTTTTTCTTTCAGAATTCTATCGGATCAATTCACCTTTTTATAAATATATGTGCTCTTCGATATTGGAAAACAATTAACATATCATATGGATCGAAAAAGGGATAACACTTCATCAATAATTACATCTCTCTCTCTCTCTCTCTCTCTCTCTCTCTCTCTCTCTCTCTCTCTTACTCAGTGAGAAATAAAGGAGAGAGAAAGAGATCCCATCATTTGGATACCATTTAATTATGAAGATGAATAATTATCTTCTCATTAAGGATCGCCTGACTAATATGGTTCCCTTTTTGTTGATGTTACCATACCATGCATAGGAACTGGAAACAGAAAAAGTGATGATAATAGTGCTGGTGAATTATCAAATTGACTTATATTTCTGTCATATCTATTTGCTGTTTATACTTGAACTCTCTTTCTTTCTCTCATTTCCATTGAGGTGAGAATGGGAAAAGTGTATGGGAGAGAAAGAGAAAAAAACAATATAACGTTGCTCTATGATGAGAAACTCATTATGAGGTTATATTGGTTTCTATCATTGGTTTTTTTTCTGCAAAAAGGATGGATAGAGAATGAAGAATTGCCACAAAAGAATCATTACCTGAGAGAAGCGTTTGTTGTCATTTGATGGTTACCAGAGGAACCAAATAGAGGAACAATTATTATGGGAAAAGAACATATTACATATACACAACTATCATCATTTCATCATCATTATCATCATTGAGGAAGGCAAACATATAACACATACACAATATACACTCACCAAAATGCAGCGAGAGTAAGGAAAAATTGAAAATTGTCAGAGAGAGAGAGAGAGAGAGAGAAGGAAGAAACCAAAGGAGGAGATGATAGAATGGGGAGATGAAGAATGGGGAAACCATTAAAAAGGAGCAACCAAGTTACCTGGACTGTCAAGCGAAAATAGAGAGACCGAGAGAGTGAGAATAATATTTATATCAACAAACCCTATGGTATTTATATAAATGTATCTGTGTATCTGTTAACTTGGACAGAGAAGAAGAAGAAGAAGAAATTAGGAGCAAGAGAGAGAGAGAGAGAGAGGAGAGCTCATTTATCTTCCTCTGTAAAGATAAAAAAGAGTTTACTACCTTTCGACATTTACATTTGTCTTCTTAAAGTCAGTGGTTCACTTGATTTAGTCTCATTTAAATTGTCAACCTCATCGACTTTTACCTGTGTCTTCAATTGCTCAATATTTTTCTTCTTCTTCTTATTCCTTGGATTCTTATTTTATTCAATCTCTTCCTCTTCCGTTTATACTTTTCATTACCAAAGTAATACTTACCTTTGTGAAGAATAATTTATTCCCAATCAATCTTTGAGCATCTCAACAACATTCAATTGATATTAACTATTCATCTCTTTCGTCTCTTTCATCTAATCTTTATCTCTTATTCAGAATTTCATCAATACAACAATTAAGTCATTCTCCTAGTGGAAGACTAGTGATTTTGTTGTTTGTGATAAATCACTCAAACAAGAAATCGCTATCTTCCGAAGGTGGATGACAACTAACAACATCTTTCATCATTTACTAACCCAAAATCTCAAATTAATCAAGTTAATTGAATTCTCACAAAATTGGATCCTTTTAATTCATTTATTGAATCTAATTTCCTTTTCTCTTTGATAATCAACTGGTAAAAAGACAGGTAACCAATAACTTTCTTGTTAATCAACTTAATCGTATACTAAGACTTAATTGTTGAACCTCGTTCACCTTTAATCTTTTGCCCTTTAAAAGACTTGAGATGTTCAACTGATGTTCACTAAATTGTCCTGTTCAAATGATGATTAATATGAACGTCACTAAACTAATTTAATATTCTATTAGTTATTAACTATATCAAAAAAAAAGTTTTCTCTTCAATAGGAACAAATTTTCATCTTGGTTTGATGATCGATGAACAAACAGAATCTTTTCCTGGTACATTGAGGCAAATGTTCATGGTTTCAGGGAGGAAAACAATTGAAATGACACAACAATCAAAGAAAATCAAACAAAAAAGACTGAAAAAAGCCCCTCATGCTCATCCAAACAGCTAATTCGTTGGTTTTAATGCACTCATCTTATTCACCCTCGTTCTCTGAAGTAAATAAACAATGTTCTGGTTTAAATGTTTTCCGGAAGTTCTGTTATCAGGGAAGAAAAGAAAAGAAAATAAGGAATAAGTTTTCTAAGAGAAGATGAAAAGATTTCCCGTTCTATCAGGTTAATCTTCCTGTTTCGCTTTTTGTCACCAAAGAGCAAAACGTAAGATGATGGAGAGAGAGATGAAGAGGGAGAAAAGATGACAAAATTTTTGTCACTTGTAATTGATCATCTTTATCATTATCATCATTTTTGTTGACATTTAACTGTTGATCTTAATTTCAATCATGATCCTCATCATGTTTAAATGTTTATCGTGTTTACAATGAAATTTTTTATTCCATATAAACATCATAAATTGTTTCCATCGATTAATATTTATCTTATACTTTTCCATACGATTAACCTTTGCCTGACCCTTGACACTATGGTTTCAGCTGAAATTTTCGGTCTACATCCAGCGATGGCGGAGAAAAAGCCTGATGACTCTGAATCGTCAAGAAACGCCAACAAATCGTCAACTCCTACACCCGAAGATCTTTCATTTAGTCATCCCTTTATGGGTGAAAGTTCAGCGCGAGTTCCCGTTATACTTTACCCGCTCGCTCGGCGAGTTGGTTTTAGTACAATCATGTTAAGTGCTCTACTTTATGGCATCACCATCGTTCCCGCTTTACTTGCCGTCTCTGGTTACGATCCATTTGGAGGTAAGTCGATTGCTTTTAATTCTGTCATTTTCCAATCTATTGATTCGATGAATTATTCAAATTGTTACAATTTATCTTCGCATTTTCAGGCTCTGGTCTTATTCCTTTGGCTCTTCCTGTTTTGATTGGTGCTTTTGCTGGAAGACGAAGACGAAGATCACTTGAAAATCATATTCCATTGGAAAGACTTGACATTGATTTGGATAAAATTAGATTGTTAATCGCTTCATTGGAATCACCATTCGGTGTGACAATTAACAATCGTAACAATCTTTGTTCTAGATTTCGTCTTTGTCGACGAATCGAATCTTTCAGACAAAGTTTGGTTAAATTCTTACGATTGTTATTTAAAAGTCAAATGAAACATTTACCATCAATTAATAGTAATCACATGCAAGCCTTACCCAAATTTCCTAATTCTTAATGGTAATTATGTATTTCCTTGATTATTATTTATATTTAATTTATTCAATATATGAAATTGAGTCAGAAATATCAAAAATTTTCTGTTTTATCTAATAAAATTTTCTTCTAATTATTAAAAATATATGATCATTGATGGGTTTTTTTGCTTATATACAAAATATTACAAATGGATGAAGTTCAACAATCAAAAAGGTTGATCAAATTATTGCAGATTTGTCCAAATAAGGAAAAGCTTTAAAATGTCCAACTTTTTTCTTCTGAGAATCGTAATTAAAGGACATGAAACATTGTTCACAAAATAACCATGGATTGTCAGGTAATCTCTTATTATCAAATACAAGCCATTTGGGGACATTGATTCCACACATATAACACATTATAGCAGTTTTGTTGACCGTTTTAAATAATCTTGGATAATCGTCGATAAATGGACTATCAGTTTGAGGTGAAAATAAACGCATCTCTGAGAAGACTATCATATGTTCACAATTCCCTTGATGGACATAAACATAGGGTTGACCAAGTCGAATGGTAAGATCGATGAAACAAGTAGCCTCCATTTTAGCCGATCGAAGTTCACCAATTCTTCTATCTGAACTTTTCGCCCAATCTACAATCACTCTGACCACATTCGAAAAGAAAAGAACAGAATAAGAATGTGGTTCGTTAAAATTTTGAGTTTTTACAAAATATTCTGGCTCAGTTTAACTTACTGACTATAATCTATATTGGATGTTTTTCTAAAATCGTTGTAAAAACAATCATCTATGAAGAAAAAGCCAGAAGTGTAAATTTCGCCGCCACTTGGCTTGGATTTTTTCGGATCATCGCTACAATCTTCAACTGGATTAGCATCAACTGGACAAATGATCTCATCTCTGAGAGCTGATAAAAATTGACCACCAAGACATAGAAATTCTTGTTCGGCAATCGGATTAACATGTTTCCGATGTTCACCAACATGCAAGGAGAACTTCATTGGCTTAAATATTTGAACATTAAGAATAACCTCAAGATCTGTGATTTTTTGCTCATCAGGTGAACGTTTTTTCATCTCTAAACAGAAAAGAATAAAACAAAAACAAAATGATGATTAGATTTTAAGGTTAGTTACTTAATAGTTAACTTAATTACCTGAATTGTCCAAGAAGGTATAATTTCTATACTTTAATAGTTGAGAAGCATGACTATGATAGTTACGATCAGCTTTCATTTTCTCGATATGTTTAACTTGAGCTGCAACACTAACCAATTTAACTTGATCAGGGATCGCAAATTTATCACCATAAATACAATCTTTCCAACCTTCATCAGCAACATCAGTTAAACAATCAGGTGATAAATCTTCCTTTAATGAGTCAATCATCTCTTGGTCAACATCAAACATCTTGGTAAATTGTTCATCAAGTGTTTCTGGTGTTAAATTGCTTTCAAGACTTAAATCTTGAGTTTTCCAAAGATCAAGAAAAGATCGAACGTTTATCTTCCCATTATAAATCCAGGGACGTTCAACACCTTTAATGAGATCCATGTTAATTAAGAAAACAAAATAGTTAATTGTCCAAATTAAGAAAAAAAAACAAACCACGACAATTAGATTAACACAAACGAGAAAAGAAACAATTTAATAAATTGAATTTACTTTCAATAGAAAAGAAAACAAATCTCACATCGATTTATCGATTTGATTTTCGATTTCAACCATCGATGTATCGAGAAAATGACAACTGATTATTTCTTGTCATTCATTTGGAGGGAATCAAATTTAATTTGGATTAATTTAATTTTCTAGTTAATCATCTCTAATTATTTATTCAGAATTTAACCAATAATATTAATTGTAACAGCTTTTGTCTATTTGTGTTCGTGTTTCGTGCCTTTAACCTTCGATGACTTGATTCAATTTGTGGATCTCTTAATGAACATCTTGGTGATTGTTTACAATAATTTATTGTTTCTTTCTCTGTTGTGATTTTTTTTGTGTCACTTGAATTAATTTCATTTTTCTTAAATCCCTTTTTGAAACAGTTTATCATCGATATTTTAATGAATGCTGACGTTAACCCGATGTGCGGCTCAATCGGGCTGGAGATGGACAGATTTCTATGGAGTCTATGGTTGAATTGAGAGATTGGAAGGCAAAGAAAGAAAAAAATTCCACTAAAAGAACAAATAATCTGGGAAATCTTCTTAAAGGAAATGTTAATTTCAAGATTACCATGATAAAGGAAGAAGCGGATGTATAAAGATGGAAAAGAATATAAATAATACATGATAGTATTGATGAAACTTGAGTTAATCCAACATTTTGTTTTCCACTTCTTTTTTGCCATTTGGATAAAAGCAAAATGAAGGGAAAAGAAAATCGTGAAAAAATGGTTAACTTTGTTTTCTGATTGTTATCACAATGATTATTATTATTATTACTACTATAAAACTATTAATATTACTTCAAGTTGAAGATGATACCAAATGTTTGACCCAAACGTTAGTCTACACATGAATAACTGTTTCAACAGTCTCATGGTTAATCAAGATGATTACATGAGGTAAAACAACAACAATAACAGCAACATGTTATTATCTATTATAACATAATAGAGTAAGATTTAATTGTAATAATAGTAATAATAATAATATATCTTGATGATTGAGAATGAATTAAATTGATGATAATATAACAACTTCCAAATCAGGAATTGTTAACTTATCATATTCCGGTTTTGAAAAGTTACACTTTTTCAGTATTATCATCAATTTAATTTGATTCTTATAAATATATTCTGATTAACCCTAAACCATAACAACAATTTGATTAACAATTTAACATTAGGTGTGAATTAGGTATATGTGTGATAAAATGTAACAACCAAATTAACAAAGTTAATTGTTTACTAACACTTTTGTTTTCTTCTTACTCAGATTGTAATTAACTTTTTTTTTCCTTACCACCAACACAATTTCATTGATTTAGATGAAAAATTAAGGTAACAATTTAACAATCATCGTAAATTGTTAATTCTATTTGCTTCTTTACCAAGATAATTAATCAAATTCAGTGTGTAATACAAACTCTAATAAACACCAACCCAATCAATTTGTAATATTTGATTTAAACATTAAAATAAAAACTAAGTTTAATTGATTAACTTTGTTTCCCTCAATTAATTGTTTTGAATATGGATTATGATTGAAATTGAATGAACAATTTATTAATAGTTACAATTGAATGCACTTTTTTTTTAATTCAGTTTGTATATTATTCACAATCGGTTTCAATGTTTCAATCTTAATTAAGATTTGATTCTCATAAAAGGTAAATTTAAATCCAAGATAATCAAAGTTAATCACTTTAATCCATCAAATTGAATCTCATCGAGTTAATTTTTTTAAAATTAATCGTTTAAATAAAACAATTTAACCAATTAATTTGATTGCGAGCATAAAATAATTTTATTTCAATCAACTAATCATCATAATCATAATCATCATCAGTTTTTAATTGAATGTTGTTAAATTGTTTAAAAAAAAGGTGTGAGGTTGACAAAAAGTATCAACAACAATCAACAACAATTAACTAAATCATTTTATTAATAGAAACTAATGATTAGTTGATAATTAAATGAGTGATAAGTATGAGAATTGAATGAGTTAATTGAATGATAACAATTTAAAACTAAATCGTGAATGAATTTATATCAACATTGGGAATGAGATTGTTTTTAATTTGGTCAACAATTAACTATTCAAAATGTTAACTCTATCTATTGATTTAATTATGATTAATTCGTATCACGATTTGCTTTCTCACATTTAAATCAACATGATCACAATTAACTAATTGTTGTTGCATATTAACACTATTTACTTTAAGCAACAACAATAATTAGTGATTAAATTAGTAGATTAATTTGTTTTCACTTCTTTAATTTCTCAAAGAAAATGATTAACTTAATTGTTATATTAATAGTTAATCAAATCTCATAATAATACAAATCAATTTGATAATAATAATCAAAGTTAATTGTTGTGAATTAAAATTGATTCCCATGTGTAACTTTTTATTAATTTCCGAATCTTAATCATCTTTATGTTATTTTTAACTTAATCATGATTTTTGATTGTAATGATAAATGTAATGATCAGTTGATTGTTTAATCCAGCAAATCAATGAATTAATCAATTATTATTAACAATTCACGATCTTTTTTAAATAACAATTTAAATTTATCAGCATCAAATAGTTTGTGATTGTTTCATTATAAACAACAATCTAATTGGTGATCATAATTGATTTATAAATAATTAATGTGATCAAATCTTGTCCCAATAATTGATTGTCGTTCAATCCCTTCAAATGATTAACTTAATTGTTCACATAATAAAACATTGAAATCGTGAATAAAAAGACAGACAATTTACCGGAAATTAAATTGTTAACCAAAATCAAATCGTTGAAAGTGATTAGACTTCAACAATTTAAATCGTTTTTTATTATTAATAAACTGATAAGTTAATCAACTTTGACTTTTGCATATTAATCGTGATTAATTAACATGAACAATTTCTTAATACTAAATAACAATTGTAATGATCAGTAATCAGAAAACGACTAAAATTACAATTAACTTATCAATATTAATCAATCAGAACGTTGATAAAGTTTTAAAAAAAAGTTTGAGACACAATATGAAACGATTAACCGAATCAGTTATTAACAATTTAATCACAATCAATGATGTGAATATTGTTCATTATGATGAGTCTCACTTAATCACAATTAAGAATCAAAATTAGATGCAGACAGAAACAAAATGAGCAAAAAAAGTTCATTTTTTTCCCATTCTGATCAAGTGAAATCAGAAACTAACCTGTTGATTCAGTTCATGATAATTGATCATTGATTAACATGGAAAGATATAATTTCCTCTCATCATCCACTAGGTAAGGTCTTGAGACCCTTATAAGGTCATCATGATGGCCACACCTCGACTCTAATAGTAACAATCAGCAGCCATTTTGTTTTTCTAACTTGATCATGATTAGGGATTAGCTTGATTACGATAATGATGAAAAACGATCATGATGAGGATGAAAATTGTTGCTTCTGATGATTAGTTTAAACATTTTCCAGCCCCTTTTGACCGTAAATTAATTGCCGATAAATGAATCTACAATTTAACAATTTAATTGTGATCATTTAAATCATCCAACGTAAAAAAAATTCACCTTAACTTATAATCAACAATCAAACAATCATGGCAATGATTTATTTACTCTAAGCCTCTTTGTTTATCATCATAAAGATAAAAACAAAACAAACTAGACTATTAATAGTTAATTAGTTGATTGTAAATGATTAACAAATTGTTTCCATCTAAATTTTGATCGATTATCATTTTGAAATAATTGGTTCCCTCTCTGAGTCTTTCAATAGTAATAGTAGTTAGTTGATTGTCGACAGCAACAGCAAACAATTAGCGGAAAACTAAAGTCCATTAGATAATCATAATCATTTAAGACAAGCCGCGCCCGCGATCTAAAGATCGCGTTCAAATAAATTTAGTTAATTGATAATAAGAATAACTCTGCATTTAAATTACTGATATTTATTACCGAAAAAAGATGGTTAGCTCAAGATTGTCGAGTTCAGCTCAAACTGATGTAAGAAGCAAAGGAAACAAACATGGAGTTTATTGTAAAATTAAAATACTTAGAAATCAATCTCCTACGAAAAATTTAACTGCACGTTAATTTTTGAACGTTGTTCTGTTGAACGCAAGTTAAATATTAATCGCTGTTGTATTCCAAACAAAGATAGTCCATAATTGTTTCGAAAATAACATCATTTGTTTGACGGTCTATCTCTATACCATTTGAAACTCGGAAAACTAATTCAGTTGCCAATTCATTTAAATATTTTGTGATACTTGCAACAATCCAATAAGCATGGCCCTTATCAAAAACCATTAGGTCTTTAAGAATAATAGTTGGAGACATTCTAGGAATTTCACACTCATGAACATATAATATCGTACCATCTGTGATGAAAAACTTGTCCACAGTCAATAATCTCCACTGATAAATATAAAAATTGAGCTTACTCGAGCTCTGCGCAGGGAAAAAAATTAAAAATTCTTCGTTGAATAACGTCGGACTAATGTTTAAAAATGTTAAATTATATTGGCTTAATTATGTTAACGATTTGAGAGAAAAAAATTAATTTTCAACAAATAAATTGATAAAGTTGAAGATAATAAGATGAAAATTTTTGGAATGTTTTTACATCTTTTTCTGACTAATTAAATTACGCTGAATCTACCAATATACATATCATGAGTGACAGATGGATAGTTATCAAGTTATCACTAATTTTTATGTATTTATGCGGGAATGAGGTAAATCCACGTTAAAAGTTGATTAAAGTAAAATTATCTACTTTTATGGGATCGCAAGTATTTGAGTAGATTAAGAATGTTAAATAACGTCGGACTAATGTTTAAAAATGTTAAATTATATTGGCTTAATTATGTTAACGATTTGAGAGAAAAAAATTAATTTTCAACAAATAAATTGATAAAGTTGAAGATAATAAGATGAAAATTTTTGGAATGTTTTTACATCTTTTTCTGACTAATTAAATTACGCTGAATCTACCAATATACATATCATGAGTGACAGATGGATAGTTATCAAGTTATCACTAATTTTTATGTATTTATGCGGGAATGAGGTAAATCCACGTTAAAAGTTGATTAAAGTAAAATTATCTACTTTTATGGGATCGCAAGTATTTGAGTAGATTAAGAATGTTAAATAACGTCATGAAAATTGTGTGAGCATATGAAATCAATAATAAATTTTATTCATAGGGCGGTATTTTTTCAATGATTTCTAGATAAACTTCCAATGGAATCGAAATCCTCTGCTGATTTTTCTGTAAGGATTTATTAATTAATACCGATAACCATTTTAAAATGATCAGTTTGAACTTAAGCAATTGAGCTGGCAAAAAAGGATCAGTAATAACACATTTTGAGGCCAAAACAGATGAAAGCGTATCGCATGCATCCAATACTCTACTTTTCGAAATGCCATAAATTGATAAAAGTAGTGTAAAAAGTTCTATACACCTCGAATATAGAGAAGCTTCCAATCTGAATGATTCCTGTATTGACTGCGAGAAAAAAAACATTAGTATGATAATAGTTATTGAAGAGTTATGGTTCAGGATTACTTGAATATTACATTGTACTTTCAAAATGTCAAACATATATACTAAAAAATTTTGGATTCTGGATATATAGAATATTTTAAGCTATAATTTAATCATGAAAGGTATTCGAAGTTTATTCAATTTAAAGATACCCAATCCAAACTGAAGTACAACTAATCAGTGAGCACCTCTTTGTAAACAATATTTTTAGTTATATTATTAATAGTTTGTGAACGTGTTAAATTGTCGATTTTTATCTTAAGGTTTGTTTCTCCTGAAACTCTCGACATCGCAACGTACAATTGTCCATGTGAGAAAACTGGGGAAGGTAAATAGATACCAACTTTTGATAGTGTCTGTCCTTGTGCTTTATTAATAGTAACTGCGAAAGCTAATTTGATAGGAAATTGTTTTCTCTTAAATGAAAATGGCAATCTTGTATCTGATGGGATAAGATTTATTTTTGGCAAAAAAACAATATTTCCTGTATTAGCTCCTGTTAAAATCCTCAACTTCAAACTACGTTCAAACATTTCTATCACACTCAATCGTGTTCCATTTGTCAATCCATTGTCGAGATTTAGATTTCGTAACAGCATCACTATGGCACCTTTTTTAAGTTCAAGTTTATGTGGTGGTAAACCCGAAATTTGCAAGTTATCCAAAAATTCAGTTGGATAGTTGAAATTCGAATTATCATCACTATCTTCAATTGTGTTCAAGCTCAAATAGGTTTTTGACTCTCCACTCAACATACCAAGAATACGGTGATTGATATCATCACAATGGATATTCTTTGGACAAAGGATTGAACGTGATGAAAATCTATCAGGATTGCTAAGAAGCTCATTGACATCAGACCCAAAGACTTCTTGAACTATATCTGATGTCTGTGGAAGTACAATGCTTGGCGGTAATAAAACAACACCATATTGATTCGGATATGTTCCATCACCAATACTCAAAATTAAATCTCTAAAAGCTTGAGAGCTTTCAGCAGCTCTCATATTGTTTGTCAACTTCATAACTTTGAAATGTTGCCACAGAATCGATTTTTTTATGCAATTATTTATTGTTTCAGCCTTACCACCATTAACAACAACTGGCAATATTTGTCTGAAATCACCTCCAAATACGAATGTTTTACCACCAAAAGGCAATTGTATTCCAGTTATGTCTCTCAGCAAACTATCAACCACACTCAAAGCTCTTCCAGGAATCATCGAAGCTTCATCCCATATGAACAACTTCGCTTTTCTGAGAAGATCAGCCTCTTTTGACTGAACTGCAATTTTCGACACTGAAGTTTCAGTAAAATTTAGTGGTAATCCAAATCTCGAATGTGAAGTTCTACCACCTTTAAGTAAGGTTGCTGCCATTCCAGTCCAGGCAACAGGAATCACAGTTTCGTTAAGTCCAATCATCCAATCTATCAAGCAATTATAAATGAAAGTTTTGCCTGTGCCACCGGCACCATCTATGAAAATAATTCTATCGCAAGTGTGGACATCGAAAACAACAGATTTAATGTAATCAATGATAAGCCTTTGTTCAGAATTAGCCATAGATGAAATCCTCTCGGAATTTATTATTGCTATACGTCTTTCTGGCTCAGTGAATTGGGGATAAATAACTCTTTCAGATTCAACAGGAGGCAACCCAAAATCATTTAGGTTTTTTTGATGAACGTCTAATAAATTCTGTATAGCAATCAGAGTTTTGTTTCGTGCAATATTTTCCGAGAAATTTCTACGAAAATCCTCGGAAAGAACAGTGTAAAATTTCTCGAATAATGCATTAGCATTACTTGGACAGGAAAATACCAAAATATAAGTGAAAGTTTCTCTCAATTGAGGAGCAAATGCGAAATGAGACATTTCATTCAAACAACGATACCATTCAGAATCATCATCAACTAAACCTCTTGCTCTCGCAGCTTCCATGAATGTTGGATAAGTATTACCTTCAAAAGTACGTAAATCCTCAAATGATTTAGCTGATGCGACTCTCAATAAAAGTAGCCGTAATGCGTAGCGTTCTTGCTGTCTTGGGGATACGAACTGTAATCGACCAATTGTTTTACAATTTCTCTGTCTTTTTTTCCACATTTTGGTAGGTCTATCGAAAGAATAGAAAATAGGCATTTCGTAGTAGAAAGTCTGCGTGTCTTCTTGACTATTTGCTTCAAACCATGCAGTTAATTTGGTTTTCTTAACAGCATATGAAGCAGCTACATCAAGAGCATTATCTTCTGAAAATGTAACAAAGTTTTGGTGTGGCAAATGTACTGGAAGATCCTCAACAGCATGAGAATTGTAATGGAGGGGCAGTGCAAATAACCTGTATGCTGCTTCGGTTGAACCAACGTACCGGGACTTAAGGAAATTTGCTATCTCATCGTAGTCCACTCGGTCACCATTTTGCGTTACCTGAAAGTTTGATTGATCATATCCTTTGAAAAGATATTTGTGTAAATATTTAGTGGCCTGTACAGTGCAACAAATTTCAACATTTATGTGACAACGAAAATATTTCAATAGAAAAACATTATAAGGGACTACAAAAGAATTGTTTGCTTCAATAGTTCCATTCCTCAATAACACTGAGCGCCCATTATTTCTTCTCCGATAGAGAGGAAAACCTGAATCATCAGTATTTGTCGACTCTTGAAATGACTTTGGAAAGTTTTTGAGACATTTATTGTCCTTCATACATGGGCTATTCATATTGAATTGACCACACGGGCCATGAATCATGTGACTGCTGACTAATGAATACAGTAAAGGGTCTTGATTTGCACATGGAATTTCTGCACAAACCACTTTATCAATAATATCAGGTTGCCGCGGAGTGTAGTCATGATGTACCTTCAAAAGCATATGGACATGTGGTAATCCTCGCTTTTGGAATTCAATGACATGAATCAGTGATACTACAGGACCAAAAATTTTTTTTTTCATGATCAAATTCTTAAGTTCTTCTACTTTTCCTGCAAAGACTCGTACAACTATATCTGGCCTATCTTCTGGTTTCTCATTTGCCGCCATAGATAATGATATTTCCGGCCATTTTGGGTTGCACGTCATTGTTATGAAATAGTCAGGTTTACCAAAGTGCCTAACTATTGCCATTGCGTCTTGATACCTGTGCAACATATTTCTAGGACTACCTGAGAAAGAGGATGGCAAAATTTTCATGACACCTGCCCTGATACCTTCTGTCTCAGCTCGAGAGTTAATCACATCACAAAGTCCAGCGTACGTTTCAACACGTAGTTTATCTTGGTTTCTTCTTATCCAGTCTAATCTTGAACTTTCATGGCGACAATAATAATCAACGATAACTTGTTGTGTTAATTTTCCAGAATGTACAACAGCGTTGAACCAATCTGATCTCTCAAAAAGTCTGGAGCAGTTGAATTCCCTTACTGTAACTTTATTTCGTATAGATGTAGCTCTACTTGGATTATGTAAAATACAACTCTGCCAACCAGATTCCCCATGTGGCCATAGTAAAGGATAAGCCATTGGATCTAAGTGAGGACTCAAATACGGAACATGATTACAACCGTTCGTAGATTTAGGATAAACTCGCAGGCTTCTATTATTTGGAGGTGTTCCATCAGTTGTCTCAAAAACTGCAGCAATATCAAAAGAGGAAGGAATGTTTTCTGTGCGTAGATCACCATATTCTCGGTTGAAGAATTCGAATCCAAAGTCATCAAGGTTTTTACCTTGCATTCTTGCAAAATTTATCCTCACTTCATTCAAGTGACGATATCTTAGGGCATAAGGGTTATGATTCGCTAAATAACTGTGAATTGTTTCTAGTATAAGTGGTTGTAGTGTTGAATTTGCTGGATGTTGCATTCTGATAGCGTTTGCCTGTTCAGTGTCTAAGAAAAACAATTGACCACCCATATTTGTGCACTGAAGAGCGCTAATAAGATGATAAGTTTCTCCTGAAATTTTGAATAAGTAATTACTTCTTCCGATTGGTTTTTCAATAGTCGCACCAAAAGTAATGAAAGAAAATGTTGCATTGTATCTTCTCAAATTTAATCTGAAGGTTCTTGATTCTTTATGAATACCATTTAAAAGTTGTTCCAGAATAATAGGAAATTTCGTTTTTTGAACTGGAACTTTACCACTCTGACAACACTGCGTGAGATTTCCTTTGCACTCAAAATCGAAAAGCTTAGCAGAACAATATTGACAAATCCTAATTGTAGATCCGAGATTAGATTTCAAATCATCATTCAAATTACTACAGAAAGCAATCGTTGCTACAACACGAATGAGTGGAATTTGTGTGCATTGAACCTCGTAATAATTTCGATTGACTCGTCGTGAATTCTGTTGAGAAAAAGGTGTTCTTCTTTGTGAGCCTTTTTTCGGCCTTCCTGGCAGTCGTTTAGGCTTAATCATCGAGAAGATCAATGAACATGTTCAATATGATGAAAAGAGAATGTTAAATAACGTCGGATTAATGTTTAAAAATGTTAAATTATATTGGCTTAATTATGTTAACGATTTGAGAGAAAAAAATTAATTTTCAACAAATAAATTGATAAAGTTGAAGATAATAAGATGAAAATTTTTGGAATGTTTTTACATCTTTTTCTGACTAATTAAATTACGCTGAATCTACCAATATACATATCATGAGTGACAGATGGATAGTTATCAAGTTATCACTAATTTTTATGTATTTATGCGGGAATGAGGTAAATCCACGTTAAAAGTTGATTAAAGTAAAATTATCTACTTTTATGGGATCGCAAGTATTTGAGTAGATTAAGAATGTTAAATAACGTCGGACTAATGTTTAAAAATGTTAAATTATATTGGCTTAATTATGTTAACGATTTGAGAGAAAAAAATTAATTTTCAACAAATAAATTGATAAAGTTGAAGATAATAAGATGAAAATTTTTGGAATGTTTTTACATCTTTTTCTGACTAATTAAATTACGCTGAATCTACCAATATACATATCATGAGTGACAGATGGATAGTTATCAAGTTATCACTAATTTTTATGTATTTATGCGGGAATGAGGTAAATCCACGTTAAATGTTGATTAAAGTAAAATTATCTACTTTTATGGGATCGCAAGTATTTGAGTAGATTAAGAATGTTAAATAACGTCGGACTAATGTTTAAAAATGTTAAATTATATTGGCTTAATTATGTTAACGATTTGAGAGAAAAAAATTAATTTTCAACAAATAAATTGATAAAGTTGAAGATAAATGTTAATCAAGAATTGTACTATTTATTGAGTTAAGGATACCAGAGAATTACAGATAATGTCTGGTCACATAATCGAGCAGTATAAGAAACACAAAGTTGTGCGTTTCTTTGTCAATGGATATATTGTTCGCATTTCTTGTCTCATAGCATTCTTGTAAATATAAACCTATCAAACGTATATTCCAAAAACTCTGGCCTTTTTCATAAAAAACTAACCCGCGAGAAATGGCCTCCACAGAAAAAAAAGGCTCACGAATTTCATGAACAAATAGGATGCATCCGCCAATATGTGAGCCAATGCTAGTCAAATATTCTTCATCATTGGCTAAAAGTTGCCATTTTTCGATGTATATTATGATCTTTTCTGAATTCTGTTGAAGGATGAAAAAAGAATTTATGAGTGCAATAGCAAAAATATTGATGGAAAATCTAACTTGGATGAAAAAAGTAAAGTATGATTTCTGAATCTTATATATGTTACAATTCAAAATTAAATGGGGTTTTGCTCTTTCATTTTAGTACTACTTAGTCTACTTTTTGTTATCTGCCTGATGGTAACATCTTTGATCTGTATCAACAGTTTTCCTCTCAGCAAACTGTTTGGTTATTGTAGTTAACATATACGAAGATCACATCGAAGACAAAGGTGAATATCTGGGCATCAAGTACGATTTCAGAAAGTTTTGAGTCCGTATAATACAAATCGTAAGCTTGAAGAAGGTTCAAAACTTTTTTCATGTTCCAAAATCCAATGTTGTCCTCAAAAAACACGACATTTTCACTGTACATATTACACGTAATGTAAGTATTAACAGGTCTACAGATTGAATTTGAATATTTTACAGCCAAAATACCGTAATAATCTACTCCTAGGTAATCTAGAATTTCGCTTTCACTACAAATCAGTCTCCACATTTTGTAGAATATTTTTATCAACGAATATTCCTATTAAGAGTAATTTCTATTTTACTATCAAGTGTATCGGTTTAAAAGTATTGTAGGTAGGATTTATGATATGCTTAATCATTTGTCTGTTGACAAACGCAAATAAATTCAATTTTTACTCGTTTCTAGTCATCAAAACATTGAAGCATATCCATTGGCAAGTTCACTCAATAATTCAGATCCTGAGACAAATGATACAATGTTTTATTTTTAATGAACATTTTAACTTGTATCGAATGCCGATGAATTTGCATTGTAAATACATACGGTTTTTGCTGTTTCTAAGATGATTGATATAAAGCTTTTCTTTTCATATAGATCAACTCATAGCCATCTAAATGGTGATCACAGATAATCTTAATAAGATCAGACAACATGGACTTGAGCAAAAAATTTCGTTGCAGTGGAAAACTCGTAGAACTGATATTAGCTTGCATGAAACATAAGTAAACATAAATTGAACTTGCGATCAATACAGATAAAAATACCGACCATGGGCTGCTCTCTTATGACGATAAAAATTTTACATAAATATAAAAGAACTGAGGCTAAGATGTTGAACTCTGCTCGAACCTCTTTCCCTCTTTCTCTCTATCTTTCTTTCTCTCTTTGTCTCTTCTTCTCTTTCTATCTTTCACTCTTCGCTTGTTCTGGGCGTTCTGTTGGGCAGAAAAGATCTAAGTTGCACTTGCGCCCGATATCAACCGACCAAAGGCTACTCTCATAATCTGATGAATAGTTTTTATCTTTTTCTCGTGTCCTTTTTCGCTTTTTCTGATTGATTCATTTTCATTTTTAACTCTCTTTCTCACTTCCACTCTCTTTCTCTCTTCCACTCTCTTCCTCTCTTCCACTCTCTTTCTTTCTTCCACTCTTTTTCTCTCTTCCGCTTTCTTTTTCTTTTTTTCAACCTCTTTCACCTTCTCTCTTTCTTTTCATCACTTCACTCTTTCACTCTCTTTCTTCCACCTCTTCTCTCTTCCACCTCTTCTCTTTCCACTCTCTCTCTTCCACTCTTTCTCTCTCTTCCACCTCTTCTTCCACCTTCTCATTCTCTCTTCCACTCTTTTCTCTTCCACCTTCTCATTCTCTCTCTTTCAGCCTTTGACTCTTTCTCTCTTTGTTTGTCTTATTCCTCTCAGAGAAAAAAGAGCGAGTAGCATCTTCATCACATTTATGACCAACATCATAAGCAAAAGACTAAGAAACGCGAATGAAAATATCGAATTAAAAAAACTTTTCGTAAGTTCTAGTGGAAAAAGTTCTAAGTTGCACTTGTGGCCGATATTAACCGACTAAGAAGCTACCCTCTAATTCTAATAAATATTTTTTTTCAAAAGAAAAAGTACTGACGGTACTACTTCGACCACTACTTGCTCTCTTTCTCTTTTTCTCACTCTTTCATTCTCTTTTGACTTTGACTCTTACTTTCTCTCTCTCACTTTCTCTCTCCCACTTTCTCTCTGTAGCCTCTCTCGCTTTGTTTTCATGATATTCTTCTGAGAAGAAAAAGAAAGTATCATCTTCATCTCAATGACGATCAGCATCGTCATCAAAAGTTGATGAAACTTGCATAGAGAAATCAAATGAGAGGAACATATCTTTTCTTATACAGTATCTCTATCAACTTTCGCTTTGAGAACGGGTAAATATAATTTTTAACTTGATATGAATGTGCTAACTTAAGAAATAATGCAAAGCATTTTGGAAAATCAAGATTTTTGCCACTAAGAGTAAAGGATTAGCAATCTATTTCGATTTTGCTTCATTGTTTTAGAAGAAAGTTCAGAGTTAAATTTGAGTTCGTTATAAGCCGAACAAAGGTTAATTTCTTATTCCAATGGAAATTTTGATAAAAAAAGTATTCAGGCTACGACGTTTACCTCTACTTGATAGTCTCTCTTTCTTTCACTTTCAAACAAAAATTTATTCAAAGCAAGAACATCACATATCATAAAATAAGATGTTTGTATAATTGACTTACAATTGTTATAGTGACATAATGTTGAAGCTTAATCCGAAAGAAATTAGTTTGGCAAGTAGATTGGTCAAAACTTTTATATCTACTGGACTTTGATCAAGTTGTCTTATTAAAATCAGCTATTTGTTTGAACAGTTTGATGAAGTGGGTGAGATTTAATCAGATTTGACTTAACCGAAGTCGAATGTTACAAATGACCAACAAATTACACATAAACAAATCGAGACAAAACTTTTGATAAAGTGATCGACCCAAAGAGAAGCAATTAGTTTATATAACACAAAAGTATACGTGTATTTTAAATTAAAATCCTTATGATTATTTGATTTTGTCGAATTGTAATTATTGATCATAATTACTTAAAGAGAATTAGTATCTGGTTAAAGTGAGGCAAGGATAAAGATGATGAAAAAAGAAACTTAAGTTTATGTCAAGGATAATTTGAATAGATTCTAGACCTTTCTTAAATTGTGTCCAAAATGTAACTCTTTGTCTCTTTGTCTCTTTTCTTCACTCTCTTTTCACTCTTTCACCTTCTCTCTTTCTTTTCATCACTTCACTCTTTCACTCTCTTTCTTTCTTCCACCTCTTCTTCTTCCACTCTCTTCTCTTTTCCACTCTCTCTTCTTTCTTCCACTCTCTTCTCTTTTCCACTCTCTTTCTTCCACCTCTTCTCTTCCACCTTCTCATTTTCTCTTCCACTCTTCTCTCTTCCACTCCTTTATCTCTTCCACTCTC